TTTCCGTAATATTTCAGGATATCCACTCTAAACATAGTTGAATATATACCTCAAACCTTGTGAGCTATTTCTTCATCTATGTTTTTTCAGTTGCTAAGAAACTTCTTTCTGTTTCTTGTAAAATACATGTTTACAACATCCTACATGCTGTAGGATCATTCCTCATTGGATTGACTTTGAATATACCTGAAAGAATTTTGTTGCTCCTAGGTTTTATCTGCTATGGTCCAATGAACTCCAATGAGTTCAAACCCAACCTTGACATGCTGCTCATTACCTTCAGGTGATAATTTGGAAAGTAACTGCTTGTATTCAAGTTTAAAATAATTCTTTTCAGACAGTTTTGAGGAAAACAAAAAGATCAAAATCGAACCTTGACCTCCACCACTCCCTGACCCAAAGCCAAGTGCAGCTAGACTTGCTCCTGTACTCATGTGTCTCTGTCACACAGGGAGTTTGAATCCAAAGCCTGTTGCTCACTTCATCATGTGCAGCTCCAGGAAGCCTTTTTCATAATGAAAATACAGCTTACATATACAGCTTCTATTTCAAAATGTACTTCCAAACACATAACTTTTAGTGAAAAGAGAAAAACAGTTCCCTGAATATATTTGCAGCATGAATGCACCCAAATTGATTCATAGGCTTTTCTGAATTGATAAAACATTTCTTTGTCACATCAGAGTTGCAGCTGCAGAAAGGGATCCTTAAAAATGGGCACATTTTCATACCTGTAGCAGAACTTTCTGATCAGATCACATCTGTGCATGTGTGAATTTAAAATATGAGTTTAACACATAAAGCTTTGAAACTGTATTCTATATAGAAATTGTATTAAACTATATTTAACTGTATAGAGCCATTGCCTTGCTCAGAAGTGATCAAGTCGTCCCTGAGTATTGTACTAGCAATGGGTCCAAAACCTAAACTCGTTTGCATTACAGCAGCCTATATCTGTCTCACCAGTATTTCAAAGAACCTAACTAATTCTAAATCAGTCCCACATGGTTCACTGGGAAGAGCAGGTGTTCAACACCTTTGCAAAATCAGGTAATTTGATGGATTGGCTACAGCTATAAACTCAAGTCTTGTGTTTAAACCCATTCAGCAACTTTAGAGGAGTAAGACCCTGCCCTATGGCTTTGTCATTCATAGTACCATTGATCCTTGTACATATATTCTTGGACTACAAACACAACAGTAATTACAGCATTAACTACTAAGATACAATGCAGAGTTTCATACAGAAACCAAATTCAGTTGGAAACCAAAATCATCCCCAGATTCTTACTATCTGCATCTTGGCAGTGCTTTGCACCTCCTGCTAATGCACCCAGAATTCCTGATGCTGTTTCTATGAACAGGTTAATACACGGGAAGTTAAAAATCATCAAAACTGTCCCTCAATTTAAAAAAAAAAAAAAAAAAGGTTCTCAAATCAATTGTTTTCACAAAAATACCTGAGGCTGAGCAGGAATTTTTGGAAACTAGACGACCAGTTTCCAAAATTGTTTAGACTAGTTCCCAGTAATGTTCAAAAGCCAGCCCAGTGTATGTATTCTTCTTTGCTCTTGACTTCCAGCAAACAAATAGTGTTCTGTTCTTCACAGAACGCAGCTTCTCCTTAATGCCGGTTCAACTTTACTCAGAAAACTTGAACTCACTCATAGGAAATAAAACAGTGATATTTAATCAACGGGGAAATCTTGTCATTTAATCCCTACAGCCTTTTAGCAAACAAACTCTCGATGAGCAATATTAAAAGATCATTTTTCTTCAGCCTCACCACCATTCTTTTCACCTATGCTTTCCACTCTGTATAGATCAACAAACACAGTATGCTCTTTTTTCCTGTAAAATTGATTAATTTATTTCTTCATATTATGAAATGCAGAGGACATACTCAGATTACTCCACCTACCAGTAATTACGAATTCAGAAACTAAAACTTGTTGATGGGTTTGGGGTTTTCTAACTAGTTGCAAATGGTAGTCCTCATGACAGACAGACAGCAACACGCTAGACCTAGAGATGCTGCGAGCGTGAACTCTGGAGCACGCTATGCTGAGGCTGGCTCTGCCTTCATCTCAGCACACTCAACCTACAGCCCGCAGGTTTCTCACGTCCTTCCAGACACACATTTGCCTCCAGGGAGGCCCCAGGTCGCAGGAACCACCACCACTGGCACAGGACTTCACAGGCGAACCCGCCGTGCCCGCGGCAGGATGGATGCTCCGGACCCACTCCGGCCCGCCAGGACCCCGCCCACATATCAGGGCTGGCCAATAGGGGCGCTGGACCTGAGAGAGCTAAGCCAATCAGCGTCCGAGCAGGCTGCTGGTACCCTTGCTGGGGACGCTGCTCTCGGAGCCCTGGACCAGCCGCCCCAGGGCCCGCGGTCAGGCCCAGGGCGAGGGGCCAGCCGGAGACCTCCGGAGGGCTGCAGCTGCTGGTCCTAGCCTTATACCGGGATGCTTCTCGCTCCGGCCCCGCTGCTCCCGGCTTTCTGGCGCTGCCCAAATCCCGGAGGTTTCGGGAGGACGTTGTCGCCTCGTTCCTGGCTTAAGTGGGACAATAGAGGAAATAGTAACAACCAGCTCTCCTCAGGAGAGGGCTGGCGCAGTGCATCCTGCAGCTGACAGATCGGAAGCCGCACTGGAGCGCGGTGACTACGCTCAGGATTCACACTGTTCTCCCGCCTTGTGCAGCTGCGGCCGATGCGCGGATCCCGGGCGGATCACCGGAGCTGGCCCTCTGCCCACTGCACGGAGTCGGTGGGACCCGGTCGGTGCTGGGGCGCGTGTCCCCGCTGGGGAGGTCGCAGGGATGGGGCCCGAAAAATTAAATGTGGCAGAATTTCTCCCCGTTTCTCCTAGTGTATTTTGTTTCTGCTTATCAGCTACATAGCAGTCAAATAAAATAAAATAAAAACACAAAACGTGTTTTGAATTTGGGGGTTTTTGTTTGTTCGTTGGGGTTTTTTTTTGGTCTCGACTTTGGCTGCTCGGGGTTGCTAAATACTTGCTTCGGTTTGTGGTTTGCTTCTTTCAACGACTGCATTCATTTGTAGACATACAGACTGATAATTCACTTTTAATTCAAATTGACTGCCAGGAGTACATTTGTTTGTAAAGGTAGCCCAAGTATTACGATGTCATGGGACACCTCTATTAAAACACACAACCTCCACTGACATGTAAATAATTCCCAGATCACAGCTTTATTATTCCAGGATTTCCCCGACCTCGTAGCCCAAATGACGCAGCTCTCCCCAGGTTCCCGCCTTGAGAAGGCAACAGATAAATGTGGAAATAAAGACATGGTAGGTTAAATTCCGGGTCCCGCTACACATGACAACGGGATTTTCGATTCAACTGACAGACGAACAATACCCCATTTTCCACGGGAGACACTTTTTCTATTCACTTTCATGACAGAAACACAAGTTGTGTCCTGGGATAAAAACGAATCGAGTGAGCGGGTATTTAGTGCATTAGCCCGGACACCATCATCATTAAAATAATAATAGTTAAAATATTAATAATTAAAATAATAATAATTTAAATAATAATAGTATCCTAAAGCCTACAGCTTTAAAGGAAATACAAGCCTGGTATTTTAATTCACATTTCCTATTACTACCAAGCACTTTTAGCCTTAAGTGAGCAAAAAGAGGATCTGATATTCTTTCAGTTTTGCATCTGAGAGTGATTCAGATGCTGGAAGCAATTTGTTTGCATTTTACATCGCGTCCCCTACACCCTGGACTGAATTAGGGCCCGATCCTGGAAACTCTCAACCTTCTGTGGGTCGCAGCATCAATCGAAGAGATGTACCATCTGCTTCAGAGTTGGGAGCTATGCAAAAGCAAAACGTGGGTCTCTCTCCCGTCTCCTCCTCCTGCCCAAGCACAAATTCCCACCGAAAGCACTGGCTGAGACTAAGAGGGAGGGACTTAGAGAGTGTTTTCCAAGGGAAACATAATTTTCTAAGTCTTTTATAAGTTGAACGAGTTTCAGGTTCCCATGCCAACATTATAAGGAGATTTTTTCCTTAGATGAAAGTAACAACGATTCTAAAGAAAAGGGTTTGCAAAGGGGGCACGTTTGACAGAACATAGATAAAGCAGAGTAATGATGTTCAGCCTTTAACATCTCTCCACTGACCCTGTGCAGAAAAAAAAAAGAAAATTGTTTTCCGAAAATTGTTTTCCAAAAATCGTAGGCATGGGGAAGAACAGACTGGGGTTTGTTTGGGTTTTGCCTGTTCGTTTTGCTGAGTGACAGAAGGAAACTACTCAGACGCAATATTCAATGGGACGAATACTTTAGAGCATGATTCGAAGCTGAAGCCAGCGGGATGTGCGCCGAGCTCCTCATCATCAGAAGCGTTATGGAGAAATACAAGATCCTGCCTGCAGCGCTTCAGTGACCAACCAAACAGTAGTTTGTCAGTAACTTTATTTAGAGAAAAAAAATAAAATAAAATAAAACAAAATAGCATGACAAACCGGAACCAAGACCAAAATACTGTATCCACTGTACATCATTCATTAGAAAACAAACATACACCACATTTGTATTCTACCGAACAGAGAGTGTATTTCCCTTAAAATGATATAGTGCGTGCTTTTAGATTCATGCTTTTCAATATGTAATTTACATTTGTTACTCAAATATCATCTGTTATAAATAATTGCAACTTGATCAAATGGTGCACCTGTTATATGCTAACCTCTTCAGCGCTGCAAGTGTGGCTTTTTGTTGCTTTTTTTTATTATTACTTATTTATTTATTTCAAGAAAGCTGCTGGTATTGCTTTAATAGGACCCGAGAAAGCACATCTGAGGTGTCAGATAAGGTGTACAGACGCCAGAGGTGCCCGTGACCTGGGTCTTATGCTGCGTCCTACGGCTTGGATCGCAGGAACAAGTGGCGGGAGAGCACATAATAAAAAATCGCTTCCAGAAGGCACAGTTTCCTCCACACAAAGGTACAATAAAAATATATGGCCGCTAAAATACGGGCGCCTATGGGGGTGCGCTGTCTGTTTGGTGGGATCCCAGGCCCGCCAGGGTTTCGCCCCCCTTACTTTCCCGGCCCAACTGCCGGCCGCCCAGCCGCCAGCGGGTGCCAGCCAGCCCGCGCTCCCCCGCGACACGGCCTCCCTTGGAACCGCCCCAGCTCCGAGTCAGCGGGAGGGGAGAGCTCCCTCTCCGGACCGGCCCACTCTGCCCCGGTCGCATCCCGCGTCACTGCTCGTGGCTCCTGCTGCCGCTCTCTGGGTCGCTCTGGTCGTCGGTGAAGCAGACGTCCACGTCGCTCTCGTTGTCAGTCTTTTGTTCCTGTTCGGGGGCCGCGTAGCCAGAGTCACTCTTGTCCTCGGCCGCCTTGCCAAGGCTCTGTCCCGGGTGCCGGGACTTGACGTGCCGCTCCAGATCGCGGCGCCGCACCAGCACCTTGCCGCAGTACTCGCAGCGGTAAGGCGTGTTGCCTTCGGCGTGCAGACGGATATGCTTGTTGAGGTTGCTGGGGTCCCCGAAGGGCCGCAGGCAGACCTTGCACTTGAGCGGCTTGTAGCCAGTGTGAGTCCGCATGTGGATCTTCAGCCCGTACTTGCGGGAGTACAGCTTCCCGCAGTAGAGGCACAGGTGCCCGGTCTTGGGCTTCCCGCCGGCCGCAGCTGCCGCTGGCAGGGCCTCCAGCCGCCCACGGCCCTTCTCAGCCGCCAACTCGGAGAGCTGCTGCGTGTGCATGGCGATCTCCCGGTCGATGCTGGCCAGCGAACCCAGCTCGGCGGCGTGCAGCCCTGCCGCCGGCCCCCCGAAGTACGACACCGACTCGGGGTACTTGAGGAGGCCGCCCAGGTGCAGTTTCAGCGGGTAGTAGGGCGCGGCGCCGTAGAGCAGCTCTCCGTTGTAGACGGTGAGCGGCATCACGGGCAGCCCGCACTCTCCCGCGTACGCCTTCAGTCCCTCGAAGGGCGGCAGCGCGAAGCGCTCCAGCGCGCCGCCGGGCAGCGGTGGGTAGCGGGCGGGCGGCAGGGCGGTTCCTGGCAGTCCCCGCTCCACCTGCCGGAAGGCCGAGGCCTCCTCCAGCGGTGAGAGCAGCGGGAAGGCGCGGAGCCCCCCGCCGCACGCCAGACCGGCCGCTGCCGCCGGAGGGGCGGCCTCGCCCGGCAGCGCCCCGCACTTGGGCGGCGCCTCGGAGGCTGCGCGTCCCGCCTTCAGCCCTCCCAGCAGCTTGGAGAAGCCGAGGGCGGCGGCGCCCCGCGCCTCCTCCCGCAGCGGCCCGGCGGGGCGGAAGGCCGAGCGCGCCCCGGGGCACAGAGCCAGCCCGTTGCCGCCCGCCGGCCCCAGCAGCGGCCCCGGCCCGCGGGCGGCCCCTACGCTCATGTCCAGAGCCCGCTCCTGCTCCTCCTTGCCCGCCGCACGCTTGGGCAGCCCAGGCTTGGCGAGCGGCGGGGAAGCGATGGCGGCCTCGCGCTTGACGGGCTCCCGCGGGCCGCAGCCCGGCGGCGGGTGGGCGCGCAGCGCGGCGGCAGGCGGCTCCTTGGGCTGGAGGCCGAAGGCAGCGGGCCGGCCGTGGTCGTGGTGGAGGAAGGGGCGGCCGTGGCTCAGCGAGCAGTGGAAGTGGACGTGTGCCTTGAGGCTGTTTGGGTACTTGAAGGTCCTCCAGCAGTACCAGCAGATGTACCGCTCTTCACCTGCGGAGGCAAGCAGAAGGGCCCATCAGCGGCCCCCGCGCAACCCCACGCATCTCAGCGCCTAGCCGCGCATCCCCGCTCCCCCGCCTTGTCGCGGCGCGGTGCAGGCTCTGCGCGGTTAGAGCTGCGCTCCCGCGGACGATCGCCGTGAGGCAGAGGGGAGCAGCTGCTGCCGCGAGTAGTCTGTCGGGGGGGGCCATCTGTTGGCGTTTGCAAAGGAGGTAGCGTATGTCAGGGAGTCGGCTGAACCGAACAAAGGCCAATCTAATGATCGTGAGCCCCTCATTACGCGGCGAGACAATATCCGATATGTATGGGCCATATGTAATCGTTCCCTTTCAGAGGACAATGCCCTTTGTGCCCCGTCCCCTAAACACTTCGGTTTCTCTAAAGCGCAACAGACCTCGGTGGCAGCAGCCCTGGTGACTCCCCGGCACGCAGAGGAACAGGCTTCTCTTTCCTTCTCCTGGCTCTGCCTTGCCAGGGTTGTCCTCCTGAGAAGGAGCATCTCCGAGCCCCGACGGTGAAACGCTGCTTCTGCGGGCAACCTGCCTGCCCGGGTATCCTCATGTCTTTTCCTTTTGCCTCCCTTTTCTTTCTCCCTCTCTCACTTTCTTTCTCTTTTTTTTTTTCTCCTTTCCTTTCCCTTACTTTCCTTTCCTATCCTATCTTTCTCTCTTCCCCTTTCCTTTTCCCTTTCTCTTCTCTCTTTCTCTTTCCTTCTCCCTTCTCCTTCCTTCTCTCTCGTGTTAGGTCTACATAGTATTACTCCTTCTCCTGCCCCGTCTCTCCTCGTCACAACAACATACTACTTAGACGTTTCGGGAGCTGCCGAGGCCCTCACGAACTGCTGCCCATCCTCACCCCGTCTCCCGCCGATCCTCACCATGTGACCAAGTGCTGCACAAGAGCGAGAGGCCGCTCGGGCCTGGGACCAGCTCCTCACAATTAGGGGGATCCCTTGGGGTACGATGAGGGTGGGGTGGGGCACAAACCACCAGGAATGGGGCAGCTTCAGCCGGGGCAACGGCTGAATGGGGCTGGTCAGAAGGTCACCGAGGCGGGCACGGTGGCCTCAACCAGACCGAGGGGCTTTAACTCAGCGTTTGGGGCAGGGACGAGCCGGTGGCCGCTGAGCCGGTGGCCGCTGAGCCGGTGAAACACGAAGTCTTCGCTGTCCTCGGGAACTCGCGTGGACGGATGCGGGGCTATTGAGAGTGTCCCGTCTCCTGTGTGCTTGCTGTCGTGCTCAGCCCTCCTTTGCTTGCTGCGAATCGGATGTCCCAAGCTGCGCGGCGTTACCAAGTCCTTGGACGCGGGTTTTCGCCCCGTCGAGGGGGGCTGGAGGGAGGAGGGAGCGTATCTGCTCGGCAGCGGCCGCGGGAGGGAGAACCGCGGCCCAATCCCACAGCCGTGCATAGCAAACCGGTCGGAGGATCGCTGTGGACAGAACGGCTTGCGGCCACCGACCGCTGCCGTCGTTCGCTTTTGCGGAGCGGTTCGGTCCTGGCTGTCCTCGGCAAGAGTTTGATAGGACCGGCGGCCTCCTGAGCGCCACCGAGCCAGGGCCGAGGCTTTTTCAGGCTCAGCTCTAGTCCAGCAACCATCGCTCGGGAGCGGGAGGGGGGGTGGAGAAAGAAACGAAAAATACCCCTTTCTCATCCCAGTAAACCCAAATAAATGAAGATTTGGAAAAGAAGATTTGCAAAATTTTGTTTGTTCTGAAAAAAAGAAAGAAAAACAAAACCAAAGCAAAGAAACAAACAAACCCCCCTCTGACTTTCTTCTGCTGTGTTGTTTTTGGGGTTTTGTTGGTTTTGGATTTGGGGGGGTGGTGGTGGTGTTTGTTTGTTTGTTGAGCTTTGTTGGCTTTTTCTTTTTTTTGGGGGGGGGGGGGGGGGAGGTTGGCCGTTGTTTGGTTGGCGGTTTTTGGTGGGACTTTGAGGTTTTTTTCCAGCATACTGTCCTTAAAAGAAGAGCACTTCAGCATTTGATGCGCTTATTCTCAGCCCGTTCTAATTAGCCTGGAAATGGTGGGCCGGGAACACGGCAGATCCGCAGGGTCAGTCTGCAGTTAAGCCTTGGTTCGACGGGGCGGGGAAGATGCCACACGCCTGCTGCATCTCGCAGGCCCGAGATTCCTTGCCGTTTCCTCGAGCTGCATCCGCCGGCAGGGGCTGCTGGGCGGGGAGAGGGGGCAAAACCCAGCCCCGTGTCCTCCTTCCTGCAGCCAAAACTTCGCCAGAGCAGTTTTTTTCGAAGGGGTGACTCTCCGCAGACCCACGGCCTCACTGCTCTCCGTGGAAGGGTGGGACAGAGACGTGACGATGAGTTTCTTTTCCGGGTGAAGTTTTAGTGTAAGGAGGGATTTGTGCTCTTGCACATCGCACGAGTTGGGCAGGAGGTGAGCAGTCAGAGCCCGGTGTTTCTGCATTCATCCCTCCGGGTCGGATCCCGATTTCCCTTCGGAGCAGCAGGCCTCGAGGGCTGGGGAGGTCTCAACATCCCCCGGATCGAGCCCTTGCTCACCTCTCGGGGACTCCGCCGGCTGAAACATCTTCTGTGTCGTGCAGGAGCAAGGGGGTCTCTCGTCGCCAGCTGAGCAGCCGTGGCCCGGTGTGGCCTACTGCCCTCCCGCAGGTCGCAGAGCCGCCGCCGCCCGGGGAAGCGGCCGGACGCCCCGGTATGGACAGGAGGGTGTGCCGGCCACCTTTTAGTTTCGTCTTCTTTTCTCTCTCTGAATGCGCTGCCACCTTGTAATTTTTGTGAACACCAGTGTGATTCCAGCTAAGTCTCAGCTCACAGCCCGGTGTCTTCCTCTTCCCGGTATCTTCGGATTTCCCTATCTGAACCTGATTTGACGCCGACTTAATTTTTTACCTCATACACCCTAATTTACTGGGACCGTCCAATGCCCGTTCGGGTTTGACTATATGAACCTACCCACAAGATAACCTGAAAATAGGCTCTGAAGCTCTGACCGAGGAACATGGGAGATGCAAGAGGTATTTTTAAAGACTGTGAGGCCAAGTTGCTGTCTCGCACCGTAACACTAGCCTTGTTTCACAGAAATCCCATTTGCCTATCAAAAGATCATTAAATTGTACCGAAGTCGGAATGACTCGAGGCACGGGGGCCTTTCCATACGCTACTGAGTTAATAGATCACCCTTTAAACATAAGCAGATGGAGTCTTAGTTTAAAGGATGGCAGGTTAAAAGTCACTGCAGCTGTGCTGGCATTAATGTTTTCTAAGGGAGCAATTTGAAGGACCCACTGTTGCCTACCGCAGTTTGAGTTCCCGCCAAAGGTGATAATTAAGAGGATCTGGTTTGATTAATTTAATTTGATTGCTCGGAAACGAATGGTTGCATCTGTACCTTTCTCGTCGTGCGTTGGGGTGGCCGTGACAGGGATGTCAAACCACTGCGCCAGTGGGTTGGAGTACCAAACGGTGAGCTCCTCTCCCGGCTGGACATCTCGCAGCGCCCGGTAGAAAATCTGGAAAGGGGGAAAAGGAAACTTCTTCAGGAGGCTTGAGAGGGGAGGCAGGTAATGGAGAGCAGTACCAGGCCGGCCCGGAGCCGCGAGTGATGTACCTGTCCTCCTGGCAGATCCGCAACAGCCTCCAGTGTCTGCTCTTGGGAGTTTCGGGCAGCTCGGATTAACCCTATCCACTCCAGAGCTGAGCTCCCGGCTTCATCCACTAATTCCCCTCTCACCATCCGCACCTGGAAGACAGGCGGCACCGCTGTCACTTCCACGCGAGACTAAAGAGAAAACAAGCAAACAGCTTACCCGTTCCCCTGCCTCCTTGCCTGCCCGCTCTGCCATGCCCTGCGAGCCTGCTGTCCTACACCAGGCAGGTGCCTGGGCATCGGAGCTCGGAAGCAGAGACCAGAGCATCTCGTTTTGTCGGCCTTACATCCTCAGCCTCCTTTGGGCAGGAACTTTTCCGGCTCGCAGGTGCATTGGGAGAGCTGCGGCCAGCCTAGGAGGGAGTGGGGGGGGGGGGGGGGGGGGTCTGCTCTGCAGGAGTCGGGATAGAAGATCCCCGTCCCCAGCACTGCGAGGGGAAATGGGATTTTACCCTCAGATCCCACTAGTCCAAATGCACCTCGTTCAGTCGCAGCTGCTACAATTAGCTTAATGCTGTATTAAATGACCAGGTAAGATGTTATTTTTTTATGGGTTTGTGCAGTCTTTGAGTCGGTGCAACACAATCGCGACACACACGACTTGTCAGGAGATGTGGAGGGGGAAAGGGGAGAAGGATTCTGCCTAGCTACAAAGTCTCTGTAGCCCCATACTTCATAATCTGTTTGCCCATACAAAGAGAAAATGAAGTGCCCGTTCCCTGAATGACCGTGCAATAAAAGTCACCGGAACAAAGCGGTCTAAAGCGAGAAACCAAGGGAGCCAGATGAGAAATAAATTTGAGTGGGCTGGCAGAGCGTTTAAAAACAATTAAAGGCCATTAAAAATCCGAGCGGAACGCGTGAGCCGCGGCTGCCCGGGGGGTCGAGGAAGGGCTACCACCCGCAGTACCCTGAGGAGCCCGATGGACGGGGCGAGCACCCTTCACCGCCTCGTCCGAGCATCGTCCCTGCTCGGACACGCACTGACCCCGGTGCCGACAGCCGGGAGGCAATCACCCCCTCCCGCTCCGGCTGTGCGGGTGGTTTGTGGGTTTGAGGCTTTCCGAGAAGGCCGAGCCGCTGCAGGCTGCCCCGGCCCCCAACCACCCACACCCCCTGCCCTGGATGACCCCCGGTCCGCTGCCCCCCTCTCCCCTGCGGCCCCAGTCAAAGGGCTCTCGGCTGGGGAGAGAGATGGAGGGACGCGGGGCACAAACCCGAGCCAGCTGCACCAGAGGCACCATCGGTGCATCTGCTCCTCCCTCGAACAAAACCCGGGGACTGAGAAAGCCGCATGTCCCCTTCTCACCGGGGCTCGGGGTTACGAAGCCAGCCCTGCCGGGAAGGGGCAATGCCCGAATGAACGAAGCCCAGCGGGACGGGGGCCGAGAGGAGACATCAGCACCCTCCAGCACCGGGCACCAGCACGGGGCTGAGACGACGTTTTCAGCACGTCTGTATTCAAGGCGGGAGAGCGTCCGCTCCGCCGGGAGAGCCGCTTGGTCCGCTGGCCTCGTCGCGGAGGCAAGCCGGGCTAGCTGACCCCCGGCGCTGGCGTGGGGGGGGAGAGGGTATGGGAGGGTTCTCCTGGCAAAGCCACAAGGAGACATCTCGGGACGCTCTGGACATGCTTCCCTTCCCTTTCCTGGCTTGCTCTAAGAAGGGAAGATCGAAGGCGGGGAGGGGGGAGCTAGAATAGCAGCCTTTTCTCCTAAGCCGTCTTCCCCCGGACGAAGGAAAAGCAAGGTCCAGCGGTGCAGCAGAGACCGTCGGAAAATACCTTTTTTTTGGGTCCTGGCTCCCTGCGGTCTGACAGGTACTTGCCCAGTTTGAAGGAGCCCGGCACAGGGCCCAGCCGCAGCCCCGCAGGGATGCAGCTCTCGGCGCTGACGCTGCCGGCCGGGGCCCTGCTGCTTTGCATCGCTGCCTCCGGGTGCCAGCGCTCGGGAACCCCAAGTACTTAAGGGGGCCGGAGTGACAGGGGCAGGCGGGGAGGACGAGCCGCGGCGTATCCCCGCCCGCGGAGTGACGCGGCGGTGTTGTGGGCGCCGGCTTTTCAACGGGAGCAGGAGGGGTACCCCTTGGCAGGGGGATGCTCCGGGGCGCGGAGTTTGGTGAGAGAGTTTGGCTCCTCGAGCAGCTGCGGAGTCCCATCCGAGAGGGTCACATGGAGCCTTTCCCTAACCCTCCTGCATAATCAGGCGGAGTGAATGGCTGGCAGACAATGGGCCAGGCGACCTTCCCATTCCTAAAAATCCAATTTGTCAAGGGCAAAGAAAAGGCGCTGGTGAATCAAAGGTCTGGAGGGACCATTAATCCTCAGCATGGGGTATTGTCCCCGAGACAGTTACGATATTTTAAGTGACAAATCCACTGTATAATTTCTCCATAAATTTTATTTCCTTTTATTGTTCCTCGACAAACCAGTTTTGGAAAATAAGTGACTACTTTAAGTCTACTTGGCTGAGCCTTTTGAGGTTTAATATACTTCAAAGATTTTTAATTCTCTTCCCTTGGCTTTATTGTAAAGGAGATTAAACAAAGAGATGGGGAATGTTTTGAGGACTTGTTAACTTCTATTGATTCCCGGCGTGTGCCATACAGAAATTGGGCAGGTACTTGATGGGAAAACACCAGAAAATACCTACACTTTCTCTTTTTTAAAAAGAACGACCATATTACCATTTCAGTGGGTTGGTTGCAGGCCAGTAATCTGTTCAGTAGAGCTTTGATCCTTAAGGAGAATGAATAGCTTCAAAATATGAGCCGTCGTAGCCCCTGTAAAACACAACCCGCTGCACCTGTGAGCGCTGGGAAGCTGTGGCTGTAGTTCCTGCGATGAAGAAAAAGGGACAAGAGCAAATAGAGACATACAGGCAAGGGGAAATGAAGGGGCACGACCAGCAGACAACACAGATGTCTAGCAAGCAGCCTGTGGCTGCAATCCTGGTTTAATACATCCACAGGTTCCTCTCCCACAATCAAAATGGCTTGCATCGAGGCTGCTTTCAGAGGAGGAACCTGCAAAAAGCGGTTGTAAATAAAGCCAGAAGGACGCCGTTCGAACAGAGTGTGTCTCTGTCCCTCCTCTTCGCATAAATATTTTAATTAAGATACAACGAGGTGCTAGAATTACGTCATCTTGTAACTCAAGCTGGGGAAATGACCCAAGATTTTTCCAGGAGCTGAAGAGGAAAGGTGTGCGACTTTTTTCTCAGGCACATGCAACATCCCAGCTGTGCCTGTCAGACCAAAGTGTACAGTAACAAATTCAGTGATCCATTTTCGCTTTTCTAGCCAGGTCTAGTCCCCGCTAGAATGTTTTCTCCTCTCCGTACCTCGTAACTCTCCAAAAAGAAGATTGTTGAACCTTTCTCTCGCGGAGAAGTTTCACATGCAGATTTTATCCAATGCTTTCGCTTTCAGAAGCAATTGCAGATACGGATTCCCCTACTCCCCAGCACCCCCACCCCACCCCCCTCCCGCCCCCCGGCGTTTTTCTAATAGTCAGACCTAATACATTTCAAAAGAACCCCCCAAAAGCTACGCTTAGAGGCGCATCTGCCGATAGGTGCCAGGTAACCGAGTGGCTCTTCTGAAGTAATCCCGCTTTCTGCAAGATGAAACTTGGCACATCACTTCCGACGTGATCCTTACTGTGGGCTTTACCCTGGATCCGCTTGCCGCCGTTACGCGTGGCACCCACCGTGGGAGCACGGGCCACGGGAATACGCAAGGGCGACGAAAGCGATTTTGAACGGGCACGTCTTAGGAGTTGGCGGTTGCAAAGATGCTCTTCCCTCTCATTGCTCAGGGAGAGCGATGGAGTCTCAGGCCGGCGAGTTACCGCCGCTGCTGTCGTGACATGCGCCCACACCGAGCGCTGTTCGCTCCGGTCCCGCAAGGCACCGGCCTCTGGTGCCCTGAAATGTCAGTGTCAATGCTGGGACCGGCGGGGAAAGGAGGGCTGACGGCTCCCCCCGTCCCGCCCGCAGCGCTGAGCTCCTCCGGCCGGGCTGGACCTGGACGGGTTGGGGCGTTCCCTCCGCCTGCTCCGGGGGATGCTGGCCGGCACTGGGCTGTGAATCTGTGTTTTATTAATGATACGTATTGGCAAGCACAGGAGATAGATGCCTCGCCTGCCCCCCCGTAGCATCAATGATCATCGATCGCATCTCTCCGGGGTGCAGTGGCAGGGACTGTCCCGGGAGAGCGGAGGCCGGGTGTGTGCGTGTGTTTGTCTTTTTCACTTCGCCAGGGTAGGGAAAGGAGGCGGGAAAGAGAGGATGTGGGGAACTGAAGATGACCCCTTTGATCAGTGGCCTGAATGGGGAAAAATGGATAAACAAGAAGTCGAGGGCAATAAATTTAAGCCATGAACATGTCCCTGTAACCTCTGGGCTGCCCACTTGAGGATGAGACCGGCCTGAAATTCCGGGAGCCGCAGAGGTAGAGAGAGAGAGGGCTTTTAATGCGACCAAGGTACCCTACTGCTCCGCCTCGGGAGCAGCTCCCTCCCAGGCCTTAATGAGTCAAAGAGCGTGAACGACACGCGAACAATTTTATCAATAGGACCATGTAAAAGCCGACTGTGAGGAAAGTTATTTATTAATATAGCCGATTGTGGCTGGTTCCCATCCACTCAGAAAAGAAAAGCCCTTGCTCTGGAAGCATTCACACCAGTTCTCCAATTTTTATTCTGTCCTGTGGCTCAAAGTTGAAGTTCCCCAAGTGAAATAAATTGTCCACAAAAGAGGAAAGGAACCACATTTTCTTTTATTTTTCCTTCCCTAAAAAGGAAGGGTGAAACCGATCTAATGTGCCCACTGGAGCAAGATGCAGCATGAAAGGCCGGGTGTTAAAAGTAAAAGCAGCCTTTGGAGCAAATGGGATGGAAAATTAAATGAAATTAAATAGCTTGAACGACCGTATTGTCCCTTATTAAAAAGACACATTAATTACATGGTTTCAGCTTTATTCAAAGACAATGTTTAGACTCAATCAAAACATTCCACTATTCCTTTATAGACTTAAACCGGGCTACTAGAGGCATCATTAAAGCGAGATCACTTTTGCCCAGAGATGCGATGAAAGTTATTTTCCTCGGCGGCCCTTATTTATGCCCACTGCTGAACTGCCGGTGCCCCTGAGTAACACTTTGGCACACTGTTCTCCTTGATTTAACAGGTTGCCCCATAATGAGGCATGAATGTTAAGGAACAACAGTCATCCAAAGAAGCACAGTTGCAGAGAGCAATGTCCCACCAGGGAGCTCCATTCAAACCATCAAGCCTCTCCGGCACAGAGAAGGTTCAACACCACATTCAGACCAGCATGAATGCCTGTATACAGGGCCCGACTCATTATGCCGCCGAGCACCGCAGCGGAGGCTCCAACAAATGCTGCAAGTTCATTCAGCAGGCCGGGCTCTGCTGGGCGGCCCCGCCGTCGGCTCCCGGAGTGACCTCGTTCCCAAATGGCTTGGCCCCGACGGGGCGGCCCGGCCCCGGCCTGCGAGACGGAGCAGGGCAGAGCGGGGAGCCGACCCCGGGGCTCTGCCGCCATGGCCCCGCTACAAAGGGATGGGGATGCAAGGGACTGGGCAGAGGGCAGGGGGCGGCTTGTGAGACCCTGAAATTCGGAAATCACCTTTAAACTGAAGAGACCAATGAGGTCTGAACATCTTTTATCTTTTTTCCTTTCTTAAAAAAAAAAAAATTCTCCCCTCTCCTCTTTCCTTGCCTTCCCTCCTTCCCCGTCCTCGCCTTCCCCTCTCTTTCGCAATTCCTGTACACCTCTTCCTCCACTTCGCTCACCTTCGGTCTTTCAGCCACTCTCCCTCCAACCTCCTTCCCTTTTCTACCCCTTCCCCCTTTCTGTCCCTTCCCACAGTAACAATTCCTCCCGTGCTCTCAGCAGCAGCAGCAGCAGCGGCATAGGCAGCGGCAGGAGCAGCAGGGGCAACAACCGCCTCCCGCCGTGTCGCTGCCGGTGCCAGTGCCCGCTGCTGCGGTCGGGCGGGGCCGATCGGCGGCTGCTGCCCGGGCTGAGCCGGGTCGGGCCGGCGGCCCCCAACCAGCTGTGCTGTGCAGACGAGATGCGGGTGGGATATTAAAGCAGCTTTTGAATAGTAATTCAGGTTCTATGGGAACCCGGGCAGATGACAGGAGCCCGATTTGGTATTCGTATTGTTAATCGCGAGCGTCAGCCCAGATAGGATTTAAACATGTTTTGTGCTCGTTAAAAATTCCAGTGTAGGGGCTGAGATTTTTTCTGTCTTTCTCTCTTTTAGCCCAGTTTCAATTGGAGGTGAAACTTGCCGCATAAAGTATTCAAAGTCTGTCTAAAGTTGCCTTTTAACCGGATTCTCCCCCTCCCGCAGCCCCCAGCGTATCTCTTGGTTCTTTCGGTTGACATGGTGCAAATAAAAGTCAGTAAACTTGTTGCTGAATTGCAATGTTTCGGTGTACCTTATAAATTCATACCTTTTCTCCCTCGATCGCCTCAGAATGAGCCCCTGCCTCAATTCGATTTTCCTTGCTGTTGGGCACATTTAGGAGAGAGTCTATTTGTGAAGTTCATTTCTAGGCAAATGTATTCAAGAGCTGATTGGGATGAATAGGACCGTGTGTCAGCCGCCCCTAATTGGGATTAAAGCACTTCGGACCATATGCAGAGAGTGACAGAAATTCTCAGGTTTCATTGTGCTCAGACTTCCACCCGCCTGGACACTCCCCCTGGAAAAGGGGGATTTAGAAAGATTTCAGGGAGAAACTGAGGAAATAAAGGAGAGGCAGAAAATGACCGGGCTAATGTCCTTCGGCGGGGCTGCCAGCGTGGCATCTGCCGGGGGCAACAACGGGCACTAGTGGGACCCGGCGTGGCGGCGGGGTTAGGGCCACGGGCAGCCAGAAGCGACCCGGCGCAGGCTTTCACTTCAAGGGGATGCAAGGGAAAGGAAGGGAAAGGAAAAGAAGGGAAGGGAGAGGAAGGGAAGGGATACAAGCTCCCTCAGCCCCAAGATAGTAAGCTTGCATTTTGGCTTAGAAACACTGAGGGTTGCATGGGATGGGAATGAAAAACCCCACGAGGAAACCTCTCCCGGTGTTTCTAGCCTAAGGAACAGGATCCCAGAGGAGAAGGGAGGCAGGGAGGAAGAGAAGGGGAGATGTGAGACAGGCAGACACCGCTCCGTGCCCATCCTAGTACTGGTACCGGGGAAATGCGCGGTTTGGAAATGTGGCCCTGCTGCGTCAGGAGCTGGGAGAGAGCTGAGCTCCGTGCACCGGGCTTGCCTGATCTAGCGGGAGATGCCCACGGCTAGCGGGTTGGACTAAATGATCTTTAAAGGTCCCTTC